GGCTTGGACAACTAATTATGATTTTTAATTGTCAAATATAACAATAATGGAGACAACTAATTAATGGTCTTTTCATCTTCTTCCATTCAGTTCAACTTTGAAATCTGCGTTTGTAACAATATGAGGGTAAATGGGCTATTGAAACCATTCCATATAGTTGAATCAGTGTGGTAGATTTTTCTACATCATTATGAGAAAAAAGACATCCCAAAAAGAAACTCATTCACGAAAGAGAAGAAACACAGGTCATTTTAAGGAGAACTTGTTGGATTCATGCCCTGAGAATAATGATGAGTCCTCTCCATTGCCTGTACAAAATCTTCCTCCATTATCTGCCTCCTCTGTTAGCAGGTAAGTTTTTTTTACATTATTATTCTTTTCTAAACAAGTTTAATTACGTTGGTTAATCTGAAAATTAAGACCATAGTTCATTTATTTATTTTTCAATAGACGAGTACTTCGTGATATTTCTAATGGTGCGTATCTCCGTTATCAGCCATCTTCAAGAAGTTTTTCTCCATTTGTAAGTGCAAATCACGTTTTAATTTTTTTTTAACATCATTGTTTATTTCTCATGCAGATCCTTCTTCCCAACAAGAAAGAAACCCAGATTGTTTTAATGGTATCCTATGTAATTCAGCTTCTCCTGTCATTTCATAAGTTTTATTTCGTTCTTCATTCATTTACAACAAAAAATAAATCGTATGAGAATATTCTTATAACAAAAATATTTGAATCCTTTCCATCCAATGGTGTGACACATTCTTCCGTATGATTTTTCTTATACTTTGATATTCTTGTCTATTTTATTCAAGCAGAATATTTGAATCTCTTCCCTCACATGTTGTTGCTAATCGTTCTGTGGAAAATCTTTCGCCATTCTCTGCTTCCCCAGTTGGCAGGTAAATTTTCTTCCTCATTTATTTTTTTACAACAATAAAGTAATAATTCATGAGGAGCTTTTTTGAGGTAGACATTTTTTTCAAGGCAAACAAATTTTAATTTTTTTTATCCCAGCAGACTGCACCATTCCTGTTCATCAACAGGTACGGAAAAAAGTTATGTAGAAAATCTTTCTCCATGGTCAGCGTCTCCCGTTGTTACGTAAGTTTTTTTTTTTTTTGGTCATTTGTTCATGTAGAACCACAACAAAATATCATACTTCGTGACTTCTTACAAGCTAAGATTTTTTTTTCAAGCAGAATATTTGAATCTTTTTCCTCCATTGGTGTTACAAATCCAATGGTGGAAAATCTTTCGCCATTTTCTGTCTCATCTATTCGCAGGTAAGTTTTGCTTCCTCATTTATTTTGTTTACAACAATATAGTAATCAGTCGCGATTTTCAAGGCAGACTAATTTTAATCTTTTTTATCCCAGCAAACTGCACGATTCCTGTTCATCAAAAGGTACGGCAAAATCTTATGTAGAAAATCTTTCTCCATGGTCTGCGTCTCCCGTTGTTCCGTAAGTTTTTTTTTTTGCCATTTGTAAATGTAGAACAACAACAAAAAATGATACTTTATGACTTCTTATAAATTGAGGTTTTTTTTTTCAAGCAGAATATTTGAATTCTTTGCCTCCACTGGTGTTACAAATCCTTTGGTGAAAAATATTTCTCCATTTTCTATATCACCTATTACCAGGTAAGTTTGGCTTCCTCATTTATTTTGTTTAAATAGGCTAATAATAAGTTGTCAGGACTTTTATCAAGGAAGACCCATTTTAATCTTTTTTTATCCCAGAAAACTGTACGATTCAAGTTCATCAAAAGGTACGGCACAATTTTCTGTAGAAAATCTTTCTCCACGGTCAGCGTCTCCCACTGTTCCGTAAGTTTTTTTTTTGTCATTTGTAAATGTAGAACAAAAAAAAAATTATACTTTATGACTTCTTATAAATTGAGATTTTTTTTTTCAAGAAGAATATTTGAATCCTTTCCCTCCACTGGTGTTACAAATCCTTTGGTGAAAAATCTTTCCCCATTTTCTATATCACCTATTGGCAGGTAAGTTTGGCTTCCTCATTTATTTTGTTTAAATAGGCTAATAATAAGTTGTGAGGACTTTTATCAAGGAAGACCCATTTTAATCTTTTTATATCCTAGCAAACTGTACGATTCCTGTTCATCAAAAGGTACTGCACAATTTTCAGTAGAAAATCTTTCTCCACGGTCATTGTCTCCCGTTGTTCCGTAAGTTTTTTTTTTGTCCTTTGTTCATGTAGAACAACAAAAAGAAATCAAATTTCATAATCTTATAAGTCGTAATTTTTTTTATCGAAGCCCAACATTTGAATCCTCTCCCTCAAATGGTGTTACAAATCCTTCCGTGAAAAATATTTCGCCATTTTCTGCCTCAACAGCGGCAGGTAAGCTTTCTTCGTCAATTATTTTTTTTTTAAATTGAATATAAGAGTAATAATTCCTTCATAATACTTCTTATTAAGCAGATCGTTTTGGACTTCTTATAATATCGATTGATTTTATTTTTTTAAGGCAGATTAATTCTCTCTCTTTTTCTAAGCAGACCATATGATTACCATTCATCAAAAGTTACGACAAAATCTTCTGTAAAACATATTTCTCAACGGTCAGAATTTCCCATGGTCATGTAAGCTTTTTTTTTTTTGGTCATTCATTCATGTACAACAACAGAGAAATCCTGCATTGGGACTTTTTATAAGTCAATTTTATTTTTTGGTTTTTTATCAAAGAAGAATATTTGAATCCTCTCGATCGAACGGTGCGAACAATTCTTCTGTACAAGATCTTTCTCCATTGTCTACCTCCACAGTTGCCAGGTAACTTTTCTTCCTCATTTATTCTTTACCACAAAAAAAAATTCTTACTTGGGAGTTTTTAATATATATATATATATATATATATATATATATATATATATTATTTTTTTTCAGACTATATATATATATATATATATATATATATATATATATATATATATATATATATATATATATATATATATATATATATATATATATATATATATATATATATATATATATATATATATATATATATATATATATATATATATATATATATATATATATATATATATATATATATATATATATATATATATATATATATATATATATATATATATATATATATATATATATATATATATATATATATATATATATATATATATATATATATATATATATATATATATATATATATATATATATATATATATATTATATATATATATATATATATATATATATATATATATATATATATATATATATATATATATATATATATATATATATATATATATATATATATATATATATATATATATATATATATATATATATATATATATATATATATATATATATATATATATATATATATATATATATATATATATATATATATATATATATATATATATATATATATATATATATATATATATATATATATATATATATATATATATATATATATATATTATTTTTTTTTCAGACTATGTGAAATAGACAATACGCAGGAAAATTCAAATACTTCGCCTTCAATTGTAGAAGACCTTAATCATTTAAATCCATGTCAAGGTTCCATTTCATCTCAATAACAAATTGCTTTACATTTATTCTATTATATATTTAAATATTTTTTGATATATCATATATAATTCTTTTATTTTTAATTTAGGGTATTTTCTATTTTATGTTTTATTCTTTTTTGTAGATAACATACATGCTAGAATACGTTGCAAGACCGTGACCGGTCAGAAGAAAAATTGAAATAAATTTAAAAATGCTCTCAATATCAACAATATGTGTGATTTAAATGGTAATCTTTTTTAATTTATTTATTGTATCAGTGAACATTATTGTATAAATATAAAATGATTGCCTATCTAACATGATAATTTCATTTGAATAGATTTGGACTATTCGGATGTAGGCGATCCTACTTTTGTTTGCCAGCATTGTGGAGCATTGATGTGGTATGAAGAGAGAATTCATAAAGATCGTAAAGCCCAGGCAGCAGAGTTTAGTCTTTGTTGTGCGAATGGAAAAGTTAAACTTCCTTTGTTAAAAACTGCTCCAGAAATGTTGGTTCAACTGCATTATAAGAATAATATCTTGAGCCGCCATTTTTTACTAAATATTCGAGCATATAACATGATATTTTCCTTCACCTCATTTGGAGGAAAAGTGGATACATCAGTAAATCAAGGGTCTGGGCCTTACTGTTTTAGAGTAGGTGGCCAGGTTCATCATCGAATGGGCAGTCTTCTGCCAACTGACTGTCAGACTCCAAAATTTACTCAACTTTATATATAAGATACTAAGAATGAAGTTGATCATAGACTGGGTTCTATAAGGCATAGTGCATTCAATCTTTTTTTCTTTGTTCGTTTATGTATTATATTTTTATTCATTTTATAATAGCACACTCAATTATTTTAATATTACGTTTGCAGTTCCACCAACAAAGAAGATATGCTTGATCCCAATATAATTCAATCCTTGAAAGATATGTTAGATGAACACAACAGTATTGCTCAATCTTTTCGGTATGCCAGAGACCGATATAATGAAGACAGCTTGAATGGTGTCAGGTTGAGGCTTATTCGAAGGCATAGTAGTTATGGAAGAGTTTATAATATTTCATTCGCATCCGAAGTTACTACTGTGATTGTTGGAGATATAGACGGCTCAATGGGTGATAGGGACATCATTGTTGAAACCCGAAATAGAGTTTTGCAGCGCTTAGATGTGCAACATCCGTTATACCTTGGTATGCAATATCCTTTGTTATTTCCTTACGATGAAGATGGCTACCGTGATGATGTCTAGCGCAATATTGAATCCAGTGGAAGAAAAAAACCTAGAGCCACTATCAGCATGAGAGAATTCTTTTCATTTAGACTTCAAACAAGATCGGGAGAGTCTCAAATTCTCCATCACTCAAGAAGACTTTTTCAACAATTCTTGGTAGATGTTTACACTATGATTGAGAATGAACGACTAAGCTTCATTCGTCATAACCAAGATAATCTCAAAGCTAATTTGTACCAAAATTTTATTCATGCATTTAAAAAAGGTGAAGATGTCGCAGCCAAAACTGGAAAGTGTATCATAATACCTTCTTCTTTCATAGGCGGACCTAGATATATGGCTGAAAGTTGTAAAGATGCTTTTGCAATTTGCCGTTGGGCTGGGTATCCTTATCTTTTTATTACAATTACATGCAATCCTAAGTGGCCAGAAATTTCACGGCTCCTAAATGCTAAAAATCTAAAACCTGAAGATCGTCCAGATATACTTTGCAGAGTGTTCAAATTCAAATTGGATCAATTGCTTAATGATTTAAGAAAGGAACATTTTCTTGGAAGAGTTAATGCATGTATGTATGTTGTATTCTACCATTTTTTCTTTTAATTATATTCATTTAACTAATTATACATGTTTGTGTGTTTCTACAGATGTTTGTACCATTGAGTTTCAAAAGGGTGGATTGCCTCATGCTCACATCCTACTGTTCTTGCACCCTTCTGACAAGCCAAATAGTGGAATTGATATTGATAGATTGATTTCAGCAGAGATTCCTAATAAAGATACCCATCCATCCCTGTTTTCGGCTGTCAACACTTACATGATGCATGGTCCTTGTGGTCCTGACAATTACAATTCTCCTTGCATGAAAGATGGAAATTGTTCAAAGAAATTTCCCAAGAACTTCTGCTCCCGTACTTTTATTGATGATGACGGATTCCCTCATTACAAGAGAAATAATGATGGTACAGTTGTCAACAAAAATGGTGTTGAACTTGATAATCGTTATGTTGTGCCGTATAATGCAAAACTTCTTTTAAAGTATCAAACTCATATTAATGTTGAATATACCTGTCAAAGCAAGGCCATAAAATATCTTTTTAAATATATTCATAAAGGAAATGATCGAGTGACAGCTGTGATCCATCATTCAAATTCATTTAGCCAGAGCACTTGCACAAATGACGAGATTAAAATGTTTTACGATTGCAGGTATTTCAATTCATATTAAATTGTTTTATGTAATATTTGTGCATCATTATTTTTTGACCTATTCTAAGATTCAATGCTTATTTCTTATAGGTATGTCTCTGCATGTGAAGCAGCTTGGAGAATTTTTGGATTTGATGTTCATTGCAGATACCCCCCTTGTTCAGAGATTGCCATTTCATCTACCCAATCAAAAGAGCATTGTTTTTAGTGATAGTGCTTCGATATTTGATGTAAAGACACGAGCAGAATCTAGAAGATCAATGTTCGAGTCTTGGATGGAAGCAAACAAAAATTTCTTGGAGGGAAGGGATCTTACTTATGCTGAGTATCCCACTTATTTTGTTTACAAAGAAGATACACAGGAATGGCATCCAAGAAAAAAAGGATTTTCAATTGGAAGTATAAATTGATTTTCTGCTAATAATGGAGAAGATTCCTATTTGCGGCTCCTGCTTACTTTTCAAAAGGGTTGTATGAGTTATGACGATTTGCGAACAATAAATGGAGTGCTTTTCCCTTCATTTAAGGATGTCTGCTATTCTTTAGGACTTTTGGATTACGACAATGAGTACATTGATGCAATTACAGAGGCAAGTACGTGGGGGTCAGCTGCCTATCTTCGATATCTGTTTGCTCTATTGTTATTTACCAACTCCATGACCAAACCCGAAAACGTTTGGGAAAAGTGTTGGAAGTTTCTATCTGACGATGTCCTTTATATGCATAGGAAAAGCATCGGACGTCAAGGTATGTGTTATGTGTATATTTCAGCAATTCATTAGTATACATTCTTCAGTCCAAATGAAAAAAAAAGATAGGTTGCTTTGATTATTTTTTCCCCAGATTTAATCTAATGATATATTCTTATAGTAATTACATTTCAGATAATATTTTACTGTTGTATTTTATTTTACTTTTGTATTTTTTCTTTTTCTTTGTTTATTTCTTATGCTTTTTGTTTGATGTGGATTCAGATGCGGTTCTTACGGAAGAGTCTATAAAAAACACAACACTTGCTGAAATTGATAAGGTACTGCAAAGCAATGGGAGATGTCTTTCTGATTACCCATCAATGCCTCGCATCAACGGTGAATCTTTACTTCATGTGCAAAATAGATTGGTGCTTGATGAGTTACTTTATGACAGATTTTCTATGATGGAAGAACATAAAAGACTAAAAAATTCCATGACTGATGAGCAGAGAAATGCTTATGAAAACATCGTTTCAGCAGTTTCGGCCGATGCAGGGGGTTTGTTTTTTCTTTACGGTTTTGGTGGTACGAGAAAAACATTTATCTGGAATACCCTGTCCGCTTATTTTAGATCAAATGGTGAAATTGTACTTAATGTTTCTTCTAGCGGAATTGCTTCTCTTTTGCTTCCTGGAGGACGAACTGCACATTCTAGATTTCGTATTCCCATTCATATCACTGAAGATTCAACTTGTAATATCACTCAAAATTCTCCTCTTGCCGAGTTGCTGGCAAAAACAAAGTTAATTATTTGGGACGAAGCCCCAATGGTACACCGATTTTGTTTTGAGGCCCTGGACAAAACACTGAGAGATATTCTTAGATTTTCTGATAGTAGATGTGTTGATAAGCCATTTGGTGGAAAAGTCATTGTTCTGGGAGGTAACTTTCGGCAAATATTACCCGTCATTCCTCATGGCAGCAGACAACAAATAGTCAATGCAACAATTAATTCTTCTCATCTTTGGTCTCATTGTCATTTATTGACTTTGACTAAGAACATGCGACTTACTACTAGAAATGGGATTAAAAATTATGCTGAAATAAAGGATTTTTCCGACTGGCTCCTTAAAATAAGAGATGGTGATCTTAGAGATAATATTGATGGAGAATCTATGATAACAATTCCAGATGGATTATTAATTGAGGAATCAGAACATCCACTGTCAGTTTTGGTTGATTTTGTGTACCCGAATCTCTTGGATCATATTAAGGATCATACATTCTTCAGAGAACGTGTAATTTTAAATCCTAAATTGACAGATGTTGCTATGATAAACGAGCTCTTAATGTCTTTGATTCCGGGTGAAGAAAAGACATATTTCAGTTCAGATAATGTCTTGAAACAAGATAATAATTCTCAGATTGAAGATGACGAGTTCTCACCTGAAATTTTAAATACCTTCTCCTGTTCCGGAATTCCTGATCATAAATTAATTTTGAAGGTTAATGTGCCGGTTATGCTATTGAGAAATATTGATCAGTCAAGAGGTTTATGCAATGGCACAAGATTTCTTATTTCAAGATTGGGAAACTGTGTTGTTGAAGGAACTGTTCTTACCGGAAGCAATATCGGAGAAACTGTGTTAATCCCTAGAATGACGATGAGCCCTTCAAGTCATTCATTTCCAATACATTTCCAAAGAAGACAATTCCCACTGGTTGTTTCATTTGCCATGAGTATCAACAAGAGCCAAGGACAATCTCTTTCACATGTGGGCATTTATCTCCCTAGGCCCGTCTTTACTCATGGGCAATTATATGTGGCACTTTCACGAGTGAAGAGAAAACAAGGATTGAAAATATTGATACTTGATGATAATAGTTGTGTTACAAATCGTACCTTTAACATCGTCTACAAGGAAGTATTTCAAAGATTAATGTAGTTGATTTGATTCTGTTTAGATGCATTTTTTGCAATGTAAGCACAAAATATGACTCATACATGCTTATTTGCTTAAGGTGCCCTCAAATCCCGTTTAGACAACATTTTTTTTGTCCTATATAAAAAATAATTCTCATCTTTCTTCTTTTTTTCCTGATAGTTTTACTTTTGTCTGTTAACATATTAGTGTAACTTATTTAATGAGTCTTTGCCTTCTACATCGCAGGCACAAGAAATGAAAATCATATAGCAAATGACATATTTGGTAAGTGTTGATCTTTTAACTCCATATTTGCTTGGTGTTATTATACTATGAGTGGTATGCATTTTTCTTTTTATATCCCTTCCTCATGTTAACATTGTGCAGTATAACGTATTATGGTGTATTATGATGCAAAAATAATTGATCCCTCTCAATAGCAGACCTTTATTTGTGGTTGATATTTGTAATATTCTGTTTCAATTCTGTAGTTTTTTTCACATGAAATATAGAACAAAATAGCAACACAATTTTTTTGTAAGTATAAGATTTGCAGTACGATTAACCAACCACGACGGATAATAAAAAATTTGATCTTTTTCCTCCATGCATCGCACGAGTAATACACTAGTTGGGTTAATATATGTAGAAATTTGGAGTAGCCGCCACAACAGTGAGGAAAGAGAATACAAACATCCAATGAATGTTCCACCTAATCTCGGATTGAAATTCCTAGATTATTATGTTTGCAATCAGTGATATTTAATTTTAACATAAATTACACTAATGTACTAATGGATATTATGCTAGATAGTGAGTTTGTTATTATTTTTTTTTTCTCTTTTCTGTTTTCCTAATTAAATGAGAACAATTGAGTTAAAAAAAAAAATCATAGTTAAAAAAAAGTATACATAGGTTTATTTATTTGTTATTTTCTAAGAAGTATCTATCCACCCTGTATACTACTAGAAAATGGATTTGTTTGCTTACCAAAAAAAAGAAAATGAATTTGTTTGCTATGAAAAATCATTATTGTTTTGTTTTGATATTATTGCAAGAAAATTTCAGCATATTAAAGCTATTTGATGAAATTGAATTTTAGTATTGGATTCTAAAATTCTTGTTTTAATCTTCTTGCGATGTGACAGCAAAAGATTTGTTTTAGGAATAAGTTATGTGGGTCGGTTCCTCTCCATTGATAGATAGATGAGAAGGCCTTACAGTTTATTGGAATTGATTTGTGAAATTTCTTAATTGAGGAAGGGTTATGTCATGTTCTAAAACAAGTTAAGTCCATAAAAACATTGCAAATAGGAGGAACATTGATAACGCGAAGCTGAATTATGGGAGAGATATAAAGGTCCAACATGCAAATATTCCTCCACAATTGACTATGAAGATAAATTTACTCAGCAAGAGGCACAAACTGTGAAGTTTTTATTCTTGTATCTTGCATGGTCCTAATACATTTGAAATCATTCAAAAGTTTGACACTTGTTGCATAATAAAGAAGAGGCCAGAAGGGGAACCATCAGGAAGCAGTGCCAATCTCACAACACTAGCAGCACCTTGGTCAACGGATAAGATGCCAGTGTATCCGTTTATGTCTGTTTTGACAAAACCAGGGCAGACACAATTAATGCAGAAATTTGGATGCTTCTTGGCTAGAATCCTTGTGTAAGAATTCATGGCTGCTTTTGAAACCTTATATGCAGACAGGTTGGTTGGCCAACCTTTGTTTTCTATTGAACCTTCTTTGAAGTCTTTGACAAACTCTTTCAGCACCTCATCTATTCTCTCTTCTGTAAGATTTTCAGCATCATCAAGCACCCCATTAGCCCATTCGTTTGATATGTTCTGAAACACCACAATAACACAATTTTGCCAATGTTGAGAAGGTAGTGTAAAATCATATTTCAAAGGACAAACCCCTCAATGCACAAGGCTTCTCAACTTTGAGAAGTTGGGGTTGTTAAAATAATTGGACCTAACTCAACCCCATAAGCTAGCTTGTGAAGCGAGGATTGCTCAATCATCATAAAGGGCACTTAGCCCATATCTATCTTAATACTCTCTCTAATGCTCAGGACAAGTTATCTGTAGCAGGATTATAAACACCTCCCTCATGCCCAAGAAAGGTTATTTGCCCAGTGGAAGTGTGGGGATAGCTTTGATACCGTATCATGAACCAACTCTTCTAGAAGCCTAAGATGTCCCATGGCTAAGTATATGGGTTAAGTACCCCTTATATTGCTTGAGCAATCCTCACCTTACAAGCTAGCTTTTGGTGTTGAGTTATGCCTAATCATTCTAACAGGGTTGATGGTTGATTATACGCAATCTTACCCTCGCATTTTTGCAAAAAAAAAAATTATTTCCTTTATCACAGCTCCAAGACTCGCCCTTCATGTAAAATCATATTTCAAAAGACTTAAAATTCAAAGAAAAGTTTTGGCACTCTTGTACCTTTAATAGCCCTGCTTGGGAGGAAACATTAACAATCCTAGGTGAATTGGATAACTGGAGAAGGGGAAGAAATGCCTCTATTGTTTCCTTAGCACCATAGTAGTTTGTTGTTAGACACTTTTCAGCCATCTCATAAGTTTGAGTCAGTTTGTCCGAGAAAATTGTTGATCCCACCTGCATTCATATACAAGATGTAAAGAACCAAATTAATCCAAAAGCTTAACCTGTTGGGTGAGGCTATAATAATGGTTTTATATATCTCAACACGCCCACTCACACGAGAGCCCACTGGGCTTGACAGGTGGACGATGCACAGGCCCACCTACATGTGCGAAGAAAGAAATTCCACTAGAAAGAAAATAGGGGGTGGTGAGGATCGAACCCGGTACACCAAAGCTCTGATACCATGTAAAGAACCAATTCAACCCAAAAGCTTAAGCTGTTGGGTGAGGCTATATTAATGGTTTTATATATCTCAACACAAGAAACTCAAAGCTTTAATAGAGGCTTCACATAGATCAATACTCCCACACGGTAGACAAATATACACACTGACCATTTCATCCAGATTGACACCATTGATTCCTGCATTGTTCACCTACACAAGAATTTGAAATTCTTAAAAAGTTAAAATGGTTCATTCATATAAGGATAACAAAGAAGATGACTTCTAAGCTACACCTTTAGTTTTTTGGGGTGTATTATAACCAGAGTAGTAAAACATATGTTCACCTACACAGTTACAGAGAGCAAGATACTCTTATAAGCATGTGGGGAAATTATCCCAAGTACTCTTATGTTTTCTGTAGGGTCATGACTAAATATAAATATTGATCAGCCATAAGAGGAATTGTTCGGAAGACAGATAGAGAATTGGATACTTAAGAAGATATTCAAGTAAAAAATCTTGGGTACACAAGTGTACCACTGTAGATGTGCACCAGATAAATTGTAATTGAGAATCATACAGTATTTTTTATGATAACTGCCTAGTCCTATTAGGAAAATGCACAATCCAAGTGGTGCAAAATTTATACACAGGACTCCCTTGTATTTTAAAATTACAATTCATCAAATTGCCTTTTAGCTGAAAAATGAAAAAAGTAAGAAATTGAAAATGAATTCCAAAGTTCAGAATATTCAGTATTATATATGCATGTCTTCTTACCAAGATATCAAGTCTCCCAAAGTCGGTCTTAACAAACTCTACTAGTGAAGCAATACTTGCAGGGTCAGTCACATCAAGCTGGTGAAAAATCACAAGGTCAGAGAAACCAAACTCTTTCAATTTCTCAACGGCTTCATGGCCCCTGTTCTCATCTCTGGCTGTGACCACCACCTTGACTCCATTTGAGGCCAACTCTTTAACAGTCTCAAATCCTATTCCTTTGTTTGCCCCAGTAACAACAGCATACCTGAAAGCAAAAACCAATAACAATTCCATCTGATGCTACAAATTATGCAAACTGTTATGGACTAAATTCATATCCTAATCATATCTCCAAGTAAAGATTAGAGTATATCCAAAAAATATTTCAAGAGAATCTCAACAACACGATATAGAGGAAATCAAGAGATAAGATCCCTTGATCCTATCAATCAAGGCAAATATCATACTAACTACTGGGAGATCTGACCAGCCCAAACCCAAGAGGTAACCCTCGTAAATAAAAGGCTAAAGATCTAGGTACATACTTTTTGACCTATTTATTACTATTGTCAATACTGTGCACATACCCATGTCTTGGCTACACGACTATTGCTTATGTGCAGTGATTAAAACAGTATCTCTTTCATAGGTACCTCTAAGCGCATACCTTACAGTATAGGACCTAACACAAACATACACACAAAAAGTAAAATTGAATCTTTGCATGTGGAACAATGGTGTGTAGGAATAGTGTGGCCCCAGAAAAATTGAAGAAAGCACAGTCTAATTAAAAGTGGTGTAGTACTAACCTTAATTTTGCCTCTGCCATAGATGGTGAAACTCAATGAATATGTAGAGGAGAGGGATAGATATTGGATGATAAATATAAAGTAGTGGTGTAGTTTTGGTGTCAAACGTAGTAAGTAAATTGGGTTAATATATGTAGAAATTTGGAGTAGCCGCCACAACAGTGAGGAAAGAGAATACAAACATCCAATCAATGTTCCACCTAATCTCGGATTGAGATTCCTAGATTATTATGTTTGCAATCAGTGATATTTAATTTTAACATAAATTACACTAATGTATTAATGGATATTATGCTAGATAGTGAGTTTGTTTCTTATTTTCTTGTTATATATATTTTTTTTCTCTTTTCTGTTTTCCTAAATAAATGAGAATCATAGTTAAAAAAAAGTATACATAGGTTTATTTATTTGTTATTTTCTAAGAAGTATCTATCCACCCTGTATACTACTAGAAAATGGATTTGTTTGCTATGAAAAATAATTATTGTTTTGTTTTGATATTATTGCAAGAAAATTTCAGTATATTAAAGCTATTTGATGAAATTGAACAATTAATAATTGAATTTTAGTATTGGATTCTAAAATTCTTGTTTTAATCTTCTTGTGATGTGACAGCAAAAGATTTGTTTTAGCAAGAAGTTATGTGGGTCGGTTCCTCTCCATTGACAGATAGATGAGAAGGCCTTACAATTTATTGGAATTGATTTGTGAAATTTCTTAACTGAGGAAGGGTTATGTCATGTTCTAAAACAAGTTAAGTCCATAAAACATTGCAAATAGGAGTAACATTGATAACGCGAAGCTGAATTATGGGAGAGATATAAAGGTCCAACGTGCAAATATTCCTCCACAATTTACTATGAAGATAAATTTACTCAGCAAGAGGCACAAACTGTGAAGTTTTTATTCTTGTATCTTGCATGGTCCTAATACATTTGAAATCATTCAAAAGTTTGACACTTGTTGCATAATAAAGAAGAGGCCAGAAGGGGAACCATCAGGAAGCAGTGCCAATCTCACAACACTAGCAGCACCTTGGTCAACGGATAAGATGCCAGTGTATCTGTTTATGTCTGTTTTGACAAAACCAGGGCAGACACAATTAATGCAGAAATTTGGATGCTTCTTGGCTAGAATCCTTGTGTAAGAATTCATGGCTGCTTTTGAGACCCTATATGCAGACAGGTTGGTTGGCCAACCTTTGTTTTCTATTGAACCTTCTTTGAAGTCTATGATAAACTCTTTCAGCACCTCATCTATTCTCTCTTCTGTAAGATTTTCAGCATCATCAAGCACCCCTTTAGCCCATTCGTATGATATGTTCTGAACCACAACAACAACAACAATTTTGCCAATGTTAAGAATGCAATGTAAAATCATATTTCAAAGGACAAACCCCTCAATGCACAAGGCTTCTCAACTTCAAGAAGTTGGGGTTATTAAAATAATTGGACCTGACTCAACCCCAAAAGCTAGCTTGTGAAGTGAGGATTTCTCAATCATTATAAAGGATACTTAGCCCATATCTATCTTAATACCCCCTGTAATGCTCAGGACAATTTATCTGGAGCAGGATTATAAGCCCCTCCCTCATGCCCAAGAAAGGTTATTTGCCCAGTGGAAGTGGGGGGATAGCTTTGATACCGTATCATGAACAACTCTTCTAGTACCTCTTATAATGCTTGAGCAATCCTCACCTTACAAGCTAGCTTTTGGGGTTGAGTTATGCCTAGGGTTGATGGTTGATTATACGCAATCTTATCCTCGCATTTTTGCAAAAAAAATTATTTCTTTTATAACAGCTCCAAGACTCACCCTCCATGTAAAATCATATTTCAAAAGACTTAAAATTCAAAGAAAAGTTTTGGCACTCTTGTACCTTTAATAGCCCTGCTTGGGAGGAAACATTAACAATCCTAGGTGAATTGGATAACTGGAGAAGGGGAAGAAATGCCTCAATTGTTTCCTTAGCACCATAGTAGTTTGTTGCTACACACTTTTCAGCCATCTCATAAGTTTGAGTCAGTTTGTCCCAGTAAATTGTTGATCCCACCTGCATTCACATACAAGAAACTCAAAGCTTTAATAGAGGCTTCACATAGATCAATACTCCCACACTGTAGACAAATATGCACACTGACCATTTCATCCAGATTGACACCATTGATTCCTGCATTGTTCACCTACACAAGAATTTGGAATTCTTAAAAAGTTAAAATGGTTCATTCATATAAGGATAACAAAGAAGATGATTTCTAAGCTACACCCTTTACTTTTTGGGGTGTATTATAAGTTTATAACTAGAGTAGTAAAACATATGTTCACCTACACAGTCACAATGAGCCAGATACTCTTATAACTTATAAGCATGTGGGGAAATTATCCCAAGTACTCTTATGTTTTCTGTAGAGTAATGACTAAGTATAAATATTGATCAACCATAAGATGAATTGTTAAAGACAGATAGAGAAATGGGTACTAAATAAGATTTTTAAGTAGAGTTATAGGAAAAAATCTTGGGTACACAAGTGTACCACTATAGATGTGCACCAGATAAATAGTAATAGAGAATCATACAGTATTTTTCATGATAACTGCCTAGTCCTATTAGGAAAATGCACAATCCAAGTGGTGCAAAATTTATACACAGGACTCCCTTGTATTTAAAATTACAATTCATCAAATTGCCTTTTAGCTGAAAAAAGAGAGTAAGAAATTGAAAATGAATTCCAAAGTTCAGAATATTCAGTATTATATATGCATGTCTTATTACCAAGATATCAAGTCTCCCAAATTGGGTCTTAACAAACTCTACTAGTGAGGCAATACTTGCAGGGTCAGTCACATCAAGCTGGTGAAAAATCACAAGGTCAGAGAAACCACACTCTTTCAATTTCTGAATGGCTTCATGACCCCTATTCTCATCTCTGGCTGTGAGCACCACCTTGACTCCATTTGAGGCCAACTCTTTAACAGTCTCAAATCCTATCCCTTTGTTTGCCCCAGTAACAACAGCATACCTGAAAGCACAAACCAATAACAATTCCATCTGATGCTACAAATTATGCAAACATTGTAACATACACAGAAAAAGTAAAATTGAATCTTTGCATGTGGAACAATGGTGTGTAGGAATAGTGTGGCCCCAGAAAAATTGAAGGAAGCACAGTCTAATCAAAAGTGGTGTAGTACTAACCTTAATTTTGCCTCTGCCATAGACGGTGAAACTCAATGAATATGTGGAGGAGAGGTATAGATATTGGATGATAAATATAAAGTAGTGGTGTAGTTTTGGTGGCAAAAATAGTAAGTAAATTGGGTTAATATATGTACAAATTTGGAGTAGCCACAAAAGTGAGGAAAGAGAATACAAACATCCAAAGAATGTTCCACCTAATCTCGGATTGAGATTCCTAGATTATTATGTTTGCAATCAGTGATATTTAATTTTAAGATAAATTACACTAATGTATTAAGGGATATTTTGCTAGATAGTGAGTTTGTTTCTTGTGTTATTAACATGAGTTTTTTGTTTTCTTGTTATTTTTTTCTTTCTCTTTTCTGTTTTCCTAATTAAATGAGAACAATTAAGTTAAAAAAAAAATCTTAGTTATCAATAATTTAACCGAGGGGACATAAAAAAAACTCTTTCCATACCAGATATATGTGTCATGTACATGGTACGATGTTCAAATATAATAATTTGTTTATTAAATTCTTATTTTAATCATTTAAAGATATATCTATTGTCATTTAAATTTTCAATTTTTTTAATAATGATTTAACTATTTAATCATGCAAAATAACATCACCTTCCTTACGTTTTAATTGACCTAAAAATAGTTAATTTGCATCCAATGCAACTAATTAATTGCTTTTGTGATTCTTACACGTGTCTTTCTCTTCCAAATGACAATCTCTCTTTCTTCCCTTATTTGAATCAAAGCTTTTAAGCTCATCCTTTGATGGCAACAATCATGCACATGGATTTGGATCCACGATAACAAAAAAAAAAGTATATAATTTTTAGGGAGAAGTATTTGTTATTATAAATGATATAAAATTATGTCATTTTAAGAGAGATAGACACAAGAAAATATTTTTTTATTTAAAATTTAAATTAAAAAAAATCACTCATTTTCTCTTCCATGATTTTCATTTCTTGTGTCTATCTCTCTTAAAATGACAAACACCAAACTCTAATTTTTAAATGAGTGGTTGTGATCAAATAACATGATCACATAATTACTTTTCATATAAGGATCCAAATCTCATGCCCATAAAAGTGGTAATATGGGTCGAACGCAACGGGAAGAGTCCCTATTGGTTGTGGGTCAAAATGGGTCAGCAGTGGGTTGTGGCAGGTTGGCCTGCTGGGTCAATTTTTTTTTTTTTACTATTAATTAGTATTTTATTTGTCATTAAATTCTTATAATATCCAAAAAAAATTATTTTAGTACTCTCCTAAAAAATATCTGACTAGATATTAATATTCATTTAAAGTTGAGATTGAAAAAAATTAAAGAAATATAAAATGAAATTTAGTAATATTAAAAATTTGTAAAATATAATTTGTTCTTAAAATTTAATTATTTTATATTTTTAAAATAGCAATTTGACGGGTTGATCTATCAATCCATCAACCCACGTAGGGTGGGTTGAATTTTTGAACCCAAATTGAAATGCCGGTCAATCCACCCCACCTTATTTTTAAAGGAAGTTGATATTGGATTGGGGTGTGCCATATTGCCACCTCTACATGGCCATACACAAAGATGCCCGCAATCTTTATATGCAGTAGAACTACACGAAAATGAAACCTTCCAACATGCCACAATTATTGCTGCTTTTCATCTTGTTATACCTCCCTCTCTAACAAGCACCATCATCCTCTATTTTTTCAACTTTTAGAGACCCCACGCAGCAATCATAAGTCATGACAACCTGACCTACCCATTGGCGGCCGAATTTATGGAACACTGACCAAAATGTCACTGTTTACCAAGTTTTTTACCTAAATGTCATGCGAACAATGTTATTTCTCAATGTGCCACGGGGACAAGTTCGCTATCCGGTGTAGCGAACTCGGTTTGCTGACGTGTCACATTTCTAGTGGACACCAAGTTCGCTACCCAGTGTCGCGAACTTCAAATTTTTTTTTAACTTGGTACTTGTTATCCACTAAAAAAGTGACAAGGCAGCAAATCGAGTTCGCTACACAGGGTAGCGAACTTGCCCCAGTGGCTGATTGAGAAATAACACTGTTCGCGTGACATTTAGATAAAAAATTTGGTGAACAGTGACATTTTGATCAGTGTTCCCCTATTTATTGAGTTAGGATTAACAAAATTTTAAGTGGACTTAACACTAAATTTTATCAAAAAAACTTAGTCAGAGTTATTTAATCAAGTTAAAAATGTGACTAATTTTTGAATTTTAACGTAGACTAAGACCCCACCCTGCCCCTTAAGTGACTCCACCTACCCATCTTTTTTTTAGTTTTAGTATCAAGTTGAGGCGTCAACAATTTATTTTTAGTAAATTACTTTTAATGAACTTCCACTTGTGAAATCAATAACTAATGAATACTTTTTGGATTTTTTTTTCTTTTTTTCTATGTTTTTATTAACAATTAAAGAGAAAAATATTTTTCCTGCAATCGAAATAAAGTTGTCTTCTACCACTTTTTGGGATTTGAGAATAAAAATTAATGGTATTTTAAAAATTTTACTTTCTTATATTGTGAAATTTACTAAAATATCCTTTGTTCTTATTCCAAAATTTTGTGAGCGATATTAGTAACAAAATATACTTCACGTTATTAATAAAGTCCGATATAGTTGATAAATGACTCAGTACTTTAAATATATTGACAGGAATTCGATCATTGACCATGTGTATGAAAAAGACTTTGTAACTAGAGGCAAAATTAAAGAATTAATCTTTAACTATTAGCTGGGGATACCAGAAAAATCAAAAGAAAAAATATACTTCACTTTTATTCTAAAAATTTTAAAATGACATCATTTTGAGTTGTAACAGATAATTTTATATCCTGTTGTAAAAGAAACATTAATCTAATAATTAAATAATATATTTACTACCGAGTAATTTTTAAACACTAACATCCATCAGTTCTTTTTTTTTTCTCGTAAAATACAGATTTAATAAATCTGACTGTTCAACCATGTAATACTATCTTGATAATCATGCACATTAAATTTTAGATAAATTAAACATTTATAAACTTATAATCTTTACTTATATATATTTCAAAAAATACCAAACATTAAAATGAAGTCACGGGAAAATATCAACTAATTTTGAAGATTTATAAAACTTTATAAACTTTATCTACTGAATAAGAATTTCCTTCTTAACGAGTGAATTGATGAAATTAACGTTCGTAAAAAATATTAAACAATGTAAATATAACAGAACTTACTTCTGAAGGAACTAAATCTTCAATTACACACACACACAAATATACTGACTAACATAATTTTTTATTCACTTTTGGAAAGAAATATTTATTAACGTAAATAATAATGTAACAATCCGTGAATTGCACGGTTGTAATCACTAGTTAGTATGAATAAGTAACCACCTTAATGCACATAACACTAAAGAGAAATTAATAGCGCGTAACTGTCTATAATACTAGTGGAGCTTCTAAAGAAAGAACCAAGAAATGTTAAATCCAAACCCCATTATACTGACAATTCATGACTGCAACAAATGGAGACATCTCTTTACCCTTCTTCTCACTATTTGAAACTTTGCTAGTTATGAAATGCTAAGATTATAAACAAAAATAGTAAACGGCTTGGATGCAGCACTTTGCAAGGCCTTCACAAAAGTTTATTTTTCATGAACAAGGGGACAATACTCAGGGTACCACATATTGTTTCTGACGTACTCAACAGTATCCTCCTGCAACCAAAGCAACAACCATAACAGCAGCAGAATATAAGTGAGACCAAGGTAGCATTGACTTGTTACAAACCATAGCAGAAAATATGGGGTCTAGTAAATTTTGCAATGTTTAGATGCCAACTGAAACTGATTTTTATCATGGACAGTTCACTCTCTCCTGATGGCATGCAAACTATACAAGCTACTCAAGCAGAATATGTAATGTATTATGTATCATCACTGAGTAATCTGAAATTTTACATACTTTTGACATGTACCCAAGTTCTTTGCCTCCTACATCACCGTGTCCTTCAGCCAGATTTTCTGCAACTGCCGCACGTAGAACAGCAGCCCCAACCTCTACCGTAACATTTCGTATACTGCAGGACCAAGTAGCGTCAATCAGAGAAGGTCATAATATCAACTACTGAGAACTATTTATTATATTCCAACATAATAAAATACACAGACCATCTTTTCTTATAACAATCTTGGTTACATGTCTTCTTAATCATACTATAAAACATTATATCTTGGGAAAAGGCTGAACATCTTTGATAAGGGATGAGTAAACCAAAGCTATACTTTAAATATTTAGTACCAAACTCACATCCAAATCCTAAATGCATTCAGATAATCGGGTTTTGCGTGGCTAAACAAATAGAATTAGAATTTTATTTCTCGTAGTAGTTCAAATAGGTGCTAGGGAAAATGAGAGCCAGGAGGGAACGAATATCAAATGATAGCAAGAAAAAAAGGGAAAATTACCAATCAGTGGATGGATACAAGATTCCCTTTTGGATATCTTCCTCTGTCATGTATGAAGCAAGGCTGTGAGGATGACAGCATGTTAGTAATTTATTTAAAAAGGCACTGAGTGGCATCCCATTAGAGGGAAAGTTAAAATGGGCAATGTAATCCAAAAATAATAAATAAAGTAATAAGCTTTTCACAATATAACTTTTAGAATAAATGTGCAGAAGATAAGTAGTGTAGAGCCTATGGCAAGTTCAAGGGACTAGCATGTATGTTAATCTCGTTATTTACTACTAAACATCAAACAAAATCCACACCATATTGTGCACGTGCATTAGTGGTCTACAAAAAAGAACTGCTCAAACATCAAGACACAAAAAGAAAATATTTCAAAGAAAGGAGGTAGAAATACAGATAAAATGATTAGAGAACATGTAAGACAAGGTCAAACTGCTCGATTGAAATGCCTAACATCAGAGCAGCCCTACAAACATCAA